GCGATGACCTCATAGGGTCGTCAGTGCTGCACCCCCCCGCCTACCCCCGCCCCCCAAAGCTTTGGCGTGGCAGTCAGGCGCGGGGGTCGGCGGCCGAATTATTTGCGCAGTATTGTTCGCCGTTTTTGTTGGTCAGGTGGTTATTCTCCGGCAGATATCACTCCCCGTGCCTGTTCGTACAAAGTTTGTAGTACACGTCCGTACCTTTCCCGCCGGGTCGCCTTTCGTAGTCGTAGTTGCGCTCGTCGTAGAGTAGTAGCAGGAGTCGTCGTAGCAGTAGTAGTAGTAGTAGTAGTCGTCGTCGTCGTCGTCGTCGTCGTCGTCGTCGTCGTCGTCGTCGTCGTCGTCGTCGTCGTCGTCGTCGTCGTCGTCGTCGTCGTCGTCGTCGTCGTGACTGTCACTGTCGTCGTCGTCGTCGCCGCCAGAATAATTTATTGCAGAATATCGAAGACGCCTACGGCGAATCACCGCCGCCCCTTGCCTTTTTGGAAGCGCCTATGTGGCCGAACGTTGAGGCCAGAACTGCCAAGCTATTGGACCATGTGTTCCCTGAATCGGTTTGGAAAGCCTTCGGGGAACACGTGGGCATCTTGAAGGTCATCTTGGCCGCCTGGAGGCCATTTTGACCCTTTCGGGCCTTCTTGGAGGACGTCTTGGAGGGCTCTTGGGCCGTCTTGGAGGCCATCTTGAGCGTCTTGGAGGCCTCTTGGGCCGTCTTGGGGGCCTCTTAGGGGCCTTCGTGGGCCTATTGGATGATCTTTGGGGGCACTTGGGCCGTCTCGGGCCGTCGGGAGGCCGAACAAAAAGCAAATGCCACAATCCTTAAACAAAACTCGTGGGAAATCAATAATGTTGGCCTTTTCGGGCCTTCCTGGAGGCCCTCTTGGCGGCCTCTTGGGCCGTCTTGGGCCATCTTCGTGCCATCGTCGGCCGTCTTGGTGGGCCCCTGGCCCGTCCGACGCCGTCGGAAGCCGTTTGGGGGGCCTCTCTGAGCCGACTTGGAGGCCTCTTGGAATGCTCCAGGGCCGTCTGGGAGGCCATCTTGGGCGTCTTAAAAGCCTCCTGGGCCGTCTTGGGGGCCTCTTGGGGCCGTCTTGGGGGCCTCTTGGGCCGTTCTGGGTCCATCTTGGAGGCTTGTTGGGCGATCGTTGGGCGATCTTTGGGGGCTCTTGGGCCGTATTGGGCCGTCGGCGAAACGAAGCAAATGTCAAACTCCTTCGAAACCATGTGGAACCTCAATGTGTTTTGCCTTTTTTTCTGGCCTTCCTGGAAGCCCTCTTGGAGGCCTCTTGGGCCGTCTTGGGCCATCTTAGTGCCAACTTCGGCCATCTTGGTGGGCTCCTGGCCCGTCTGACGCCGTCGGAAGCCGTTTGGGGGGCCTCTCTGGGCCGATGTGGGGCCCTCTTGTGGTGCTCCAGGGCCGTCTTAGAGGCCATCTTGGGCGTCTTGGAGGCCTCTTGGGTCGTTGTTGTGCCCCCTTGGGGCCGTCTTGGGGCCTCGCGGGCAGTCCTGAGGCCATATTGGAGGCCTCTTGGGCGCTGTGGGGGCGAGCTTGAGGGCCTCTTGGGCCGCCTTGGGTCGTCGGAAAGCCGAGAAGAAGCGATTGACAAAATCTCTTCTGTTATAAATTATCCCAGTGCGACCATACCTAGGAGTTGGAGCCCCTAAGAAAGCACCATTAGAAGTAACACTAAAGCTAAGCTACAGCTAAACTAAAGCTAAGCTAAAGTTAAGCTAAATCTAAGCTAACGCTAAACTAAAGCTAAGCTACAGTCAAGCTACAGCTAAGCTACATCTAAGCTAAAGATAAGGTAAAGCTAAGGTAAAGCTACGCTACAGCTAAGGCACCACTAAGCTAAATCTAAGATAAAGCTAACCTAAAGCTAAGCTAAATCTACGCTAAAGCTAAGATAAAGCTCATATACAGCTAAGCTAAAACTAAGCTACAGCTAAGCGAAAGCTAAGCTGAAGCTAAGCTACAGCTAAACTAAAGCTAAGCTAAGCTAAATCTAAGATAAAGCTAAACTAAAGCTAAGCTAAAGCTAAGTTTTAGCTAAGCTTCAGCTAAACTAAAGCTAAGCTAAAGCTAAGCTAAAGCTAAAGATAAAGCTAAAGCTAAAGCTAGAGCTACGTCTCCCAGGGGACTGGGGGAACCGCGGGGCGGATACTGGGGGAACCGCCTGGGGCGGGGTCCACTGCCCGGCCCTTTAAGCACACCGAGTAAGAACCCTTCTAGGCAGAGCCTAGGTAGGGAAAATTAATCTACGGAAAATCAATGAGTTTGGCATCTTCGGGCCCTCCTGGAGGACCTCTCGGAGGCCCCTCGGGCCGTCTTGGAGGCCTCTGGGGGCCTTTTGGGCCGTCTTGGACTCTCTTGGGCCGTCTTGGAGGCCGTCTTGAACCATCTTGGGCGAACTTGGAGGCCATCTTGGACCATCTTGGAGGCCATATTGGGCCAAGGCCATCTTGGAGGCCATCTTGAGCCGTCTTGGAGGATGTTCGGGAGAATTGAGCTCCGTGGCAATCCTCCCGGGACCCCGGCGGGACGGGCCGAAGCCCCAGGGGGAGTTCTTTTGGAAAATGAACCAAAACCAAAACCGAGAGGATTCAGCACGCCAGGCACATCTGCGATGAATCGGCAGGGGGCGGTGGATCTAATGACCCTCGGCCCATGCCGCCACCGTGCCTGGGTGTTGATTACGAAGGCTAGTGGATGTTCGTTGGGATCTTGTGGGAGGCGTCTCGGGGGCCTCTTGGAGGCAGTGTCCCGCAGTTCGCAGCCCCCCAGGGAGCAGCGAGGTCTCAAATGGAGCTGCGCTGCCTCAACTCATCCGTGCCTCCCAGGAGCTCACGAAAGTGGCGGAAGTTGCGCAGTTCGCAGCCACCCAAGGAGCAGCGAGGGATCAAATGGATCTGCGCTGCCCTCACCTCCGCTGGACCTCCCAGGAGCGCTCGAAAGTGGCGACGGTTGCCCACTTCGCAGACCCCCAGGGAGCAGCGAGGTCTCGGCTTGGTCTGCGTAGCGCTCCAATCCGCGAGAACTCCCAGGAGCCCATGACGGGTGTGACAGGTGCGCAGTTCGCAGCCTCCCATGGAGCAACGCGGTCCCGTCTGGGTGCGCGTGCCCCCAAACTCCGCTGGACCTCCCAGGAGCCCACGAAACTTGCGGCAGTTGCGCAGTTCGGAGCCACCCAGCACGGAGCAGCGCGGTCCCGTCTGGGTGCGCGTGCTCCAAAACTCCGCTGGACCTCCCAGGAGCGCTCGAATGTGGTGACACTTGGGCAGTTCGCAGCCACCCGGGGAGCAGCGAGGTCTCGATTGTGTCCGCGTGACCCTGTACGTCCCAGTGTCCAAGAACATTGACAGATGCGCAGATCGCAGCCACCCAAGGAGCAGCGAGGTACCAAGTAGGTCTGCGTGGCCCCCGACCCCGCTAGGCCTCCCAGGAGCTCACGACAGTGGTGACAGTCGCGCAGTTCGCAGCCACCCAGGGGGGCATCGGTCTCCGATGGGTCCGCGTGGCTCCCGACTCCGCTGGACCTCCCAGGAGCCCGCGAAAGTGGCGACGGTTTCGCAGTTCGCAGCGTGACCCCCGACTCCGCTGGACGTCTGAGGAGCCCACGAAACTGGTGTCAGCTGCTCAATTTTCAGCCACGCGGGGAGCAGCGAGGTCTCGGCTGGGTGCGAGTGCCCCTCGAATCGGCTGGACCTCCCAGGAGCCCACGAACATTGCGACAGTTGCGTAGTTCGCAGCCATCCAAGGAGCAGCGAGGTCTCGTCTGGGTGCACGTTGCCCCCGACTTCGCTGGACCTCCCAGGAGCCGACGAAAGTGGCGACAATTTTCGAAGTTCGCAGTCTCCCAGGAAGCAGCGCAGGAAGGAGAGGAGTAGTGAGGAATCCAGACCACGATGCTGTATCCAAAACGAGAACGCAACACAGGAGGATCTGGAAATTCATCCCGCTGGATGCCTTGGAAGGCGGGTCACTTGGAATAACCGCCTCGGCAACGTGCATCTCTGACAGGGATCCCGCTCGCCCGCGCTGCCCCAGAGGGCCTTGCGCGTCCTGCGCGCTGCCTCCTCGCTACCCTCCTGCGACCCGTTCTCCTCACCAATACTGCCCTTCTTCTTCTGTTCCTCCTGTTTGTCTTCCTTCCCGCCCTCATCATCGTAAGCAGCATCAGCATCACTATCACCAATCTGATCACCGTCCCCATCCTCCTCCTCATCATAATCTTCCTCCTCCTCCTCCTCCTCCCCCTCCTCCTCCTATACCCCCCCTCGCACGGCGGGGACCCTGATGTCATCATGCAAGCAACCAGTGACACTGGAGAGCGACGCGAAGGCCCCGCGGGGTCGATTTTGGAACTTGGGCGGCATCCTGAAGTAAGCATCCAAGCCGTTGCTGCGGGAACTGGAGCAGGCTCAACCCAGCACATGCTGTGCAAAGGTGGGGTTGGGCTGAACATACACAAAGGGGTCTTCACCAGAACGGTGCTCCTCGAGTCAGGCGCGCTCGTCGGGTCGATCCTTGGCTCCCGCACGTCTTCGGCACACGTGCAGGGTGTGTGGTTGGCCGACAGGCATGTCATCAAAGACGCGGCGAGCTCCACATGGAACGCGTTCAAGCTAAGACTGCGCAGATCGAGGGCCTCGGCATCCCCCCCCCAGGCCGCAAAAAGCGCCGTACCCTGCCCACCTCCATCCTCGGCCGTACTGGCCAGCAGTTGTGTGATCGCAGCGCCGTAGCAGTGGAACTGTCTCGCCATTGGGCAAAAGCTCATGCTTCTAAAGAAAGCTGTACGGCTGCGCGCGACGACCTCGAACCGTTTGTGCAAGAAGGTCCGCCATTGGTCGAATACCGCATGGTGTCTGAGGAATTCTGCATGAGCGCACTTGGGAAACAAGACTCAGCTCAAGGGCCCTGATCGGTTGCCTTACTCTGCTTGGCTCCGAGGGGGTGAATTCCCGATGCGTGGTGTGGATTCCCCATAGCATAGGTTTCTGGACGTGGAGTTCGTGGGGGAGGGGTTCAATTGGGCCTACATGAGTTTCATACCCAAGGGTGCTCTGAAGTCGAACCACAACAGCGCCATCAGAAGGTCTACCTGCGCTTGGCCACGCACCTTTGGCAACTCATACTGCAAGCTGGTTGCCACCGCCATGGACGACCCCTCTCCTACATTGCCAAGGGAATATGTACCGAGAGCTAGCGTGGACTTGTTAATAACAGGAGCATGTCCAACAACATGTTTGTGCTGGAAGCTCGGCCCCGTCGCTCCTGCAAGACATACTCTCGTGGACGCTCCAGAAGCTGGGTGTTCTTGAGCTCTTCGCCATCAGGATCACGTGTTTCTTTCGGCGGTTCTGGTGCCAGGTGTCCGTCCGTGGGCCCCAGGCAGTTTGGTTCTGGCGTCTTCGTGCAATTCAACAAGGGTGCACGGTGTCTGGGTCGATTTGGGCTATCGCGCTCGATCCCGCCCGCTGATTCCCAAGCGATCGTATTGCGACCCCGGTGGCCGTGCGTGCATCATTCGCCGACGACGTTGGCACCGCCACAGATGATGTGTTCAGCACGCCCCGCAGCTTTAGCAAAGTTTGGCACACTGTTGCTAGGACGTGCAGCCTTGTCATCCACCCGGAGAAGACTCCTGATTTTCCCTGCGGCCACTTCGGAACGGGAGAGAAGATTGGAGGGCCTCGTGGATGTGGGAGTGGGAAACAGGCGATGGCCGGGGCCTCGCTCCGGGAGGCATCTGGGGCGAACGACGGGCCCCCATGGGCAGGTACACAACGGCAGGGCGCCGATGCTCAAGCACACGTGCCGGGTCCGGCAAGTCACAGAGTTCGAGCTACAGGCTGATTCCGTTCATTTACGCGACAGAATGCCCTGCTTCAGCGTACTGAGCCATGTCCAGCAGTATCATGTTTCTTCCGATCCGTTGGCATGGTGGAGCTCAACGGAGTCTAGAGCCTGGTTGCCAGCCCCAGGAATGCGATCACATCCCACGTAATGGGCAATATGGCCGCGCTCATGTTGCCTGCTCAATACAAGGACCTATATTATGTATGCCGTGCGGCTCAGTACAGGAAAGCCACGTTCTCGAACGTCCCGTCCAAGCTGGCTATAGACATGACTCGCATCGGGGAAGACGACGACTGTACGATCCGTTGGGGGTTGAAACGCAACCTGCCCTGGGTAAGTTTCTCACTGCAGCAGCTCTGGCCAGGTTCATCACTGCATCAGGTCCTGCAACATTGCGGGGCCAGCCCGAGCATCCGTGGTGACCCCGAGTAGTTCATATAGCAAGTCGGACCGCAAACAAAACGATGGTTGCATGGGCTCGGCAAGGCGAGCGATAAAAAGGTCATCTTTAAGCGAGTTAACATGTTTGAAAGGCACGCGAGCCTTGCTCAGATCGACGATCTAGTTGTTATGCCCCACAGGATTGTATAGCACATGTCCTGTTCTGTATCTTTCAACCTTATCCAGACTATCTGTAATTGTTGGTGCACGTCCTGTCGGTTCCGCTGCCCAACGGGCAATTGTATCGCTTGCTGTGATGTCGGGGTTGACTCGGTCGCCGACGTGATGGGATGCGTCCGTTTTGAATGCCCTTTTCGCGTACCTGCCCCACCTTCCTTCGGGATGTTGCACCATCAGCTCCGTCGCCCGCCTCTCTTTTGATCAGCATTTGGCTTTCTACCATTCCCGTAGACACGCGTTTCAAAGCTGGACCCTTCAGATGAGAGACAGGTCGGGGGAAGCCCGTCTGGTCAGGAGATGTTGTGCGCGGCCGACGCTGCCGTTGGCGCCCGTCCGCTGGGCCCGCCCTCGCCAGCGGTTGCTGGCGCTAACGACAGGAAGTGCTCTCACGGTATCGGCATGGGTCGGGCCGGCCCATTTTTTGCCGCTCCCCTTTGCCGCGCAAGGTCCTCCTCCTCCTCCTCCTCCCCCTCCCCCTCCTCCTCCTCCTCCTCCTCCTCCTCCTCCTCCTCCTCCTCCTCCTCCTCCTCCTCCTCCTCCTCCTCCTCCTCCTTCTCCTCCCAGCACCATCTCAGCTCCAGATCGTCGTCGCAGGCCCCGCCGCCGTCGCTCCCATGCCCGGCGCGCAGGATGCCCGCCGCGCGCGGGTGTCGCAGGACGCCCTCCGCGGCGCGCTCCGGGCAAGGGCTCCTGCCGTCGACCGTCGCTGTCCCGGCGGCGCCGCCCGTGCCCGCCGCGCCTCCCGCGGCGGCGGCGCCGCCCGCTGCTGCCTCTCGGCGGCGCCGCCGCCCGCAGGTGCGAGAGGCGGGCGCGCGGGTGCGGGATCGGCGGCGCTGGCGACGGCGATGGAGCTAGGTGCGGAGGGCGCGGAGGGCCAGGGGGTGCGCGCCGCGCTGGGCGACGCGCCGAAGGGCCAGCAGAAGGGCGCGGCGAGAGCGGCCCGAAGCCACCCGAGGGCGCCGCGGCGCCGTTGGCGCTCGGCGGCTCCTCCGATGGCGGCCCGGACGACGAGTGGGCTGACCAGCTGGCCCCGCTGGCGTGCCTCCCGAGCCGCCCTGCCCTCTCGGGCCTCTGCGGGATGGTGGCCGCGCTCGTTGTCGTGACGGTCGCCACGGGACGTTGTACGGCGACCCGGAAGTTGAAAGCGGCCGCGTGTGCGTGTTGGCTGGGACTGGTTGACGTGAGGCCCCTCCTTCTGCCTTCCCCCCTCTGTCAATTAAAGCTGTGCCCGGCCCGCTTAGCTTCGACCGAAGAAGCTCGCTCTCGACCCGCGGATCAAACAAGTAGTTAGCTGGGACTGGCCGCCGTGCGACGGTGTGGCCGATCTTCGTCGAACCCGTGGTGCCGTTCGGGGAGATGGCGCTGGCTGGGGCGGCGGCTGCGGCGACGCCCGGCTCTGGGGCTCGCGGCCGGCACCGTTCAGCCCGTCCCCGTTCTCAGCACGGTCGGGGGCCTGGCACCTCAGGTGGAGGCCAGGTCCCCGCGGTCGCGGCCGTCCGAAGGCCAAGTAATTAGTCTTGCAAGACTCTTTCCTTCGGGCGTGTCCTTCCTGCTCCTACTCCTCCTCTTCTCCTCCTCCGTCTCCTTCTCCTTCTCCTCTTTCTCCTCTTTCTCCTCCTCCTTCTCCTCCTCCTCCTCCTCCTCCTCCTCCTCCCGATCCTCCTCCTCCTTTTGTCATCATTATCGCCCTCCTCATCCTTTTTCTCCTTTTTGACGTTGCCCAGACACGAAGTGCAAGCTTTTGCTCTTCCTCCTCCCCCCCCTCCTCCACCTCCTCCTCCTCCTCCTCCTCCCCCTCCCTTATCACCAGCATTATCATCACCATCATCACCATCAGCATCATCATCATTACCATCATCACCATCATCATCATCGTCATGATCATCATCATCATCATCATCATCATCATCATCATCATCATCATCAGCAGCATCAGCATCAGCATCAGCATCATCATCATCATCATCATCATCATCACCACCATCATCATCAACACCACCACCACCATTAGAATTATCATTCTCATTGTCAATATCACCACCATCATCACCACATTCACCATGAACCTCCTTCTCCTTGCCTCTCCTCTCCAGCCCCTCAGGGGTCCCATATTCCCCAATCAGTGCTTGCGCTGAAGGGGTCCCAGCGGATATTGAAGATTTGGCGAAAGTGCCAGGCCGACTTCGGTGGGCGGCCGGGCTACCAGGTCACCGGTTCTGGATTCCCGGGACCCGGTTCCGGGTTCCAGGCCGATTTCGGTGGGCGGCGGGGTTCCCCGGGTTTTCGGGTTCTTGGGTTCTTGGTCGTTCTCTTGATCGATCGGTCTCGCTCGCCATCGATTTCATGACCCATTTCTCTATCGACCTCACGATCGATCTCACAATCGATGTCATGATCCATCTCACTGAATCGACTTCACTGTCGGTCTCAAGATCTACCATACTATCGTCCTCGCTATCGATCCCACTATCGATCTCACCATCGATCTCACAATCACTCAATACCCGTATTAGTAATTCCCAAGCCATCCATGGATTTGGGTTATTCTAGGGTGTGATAGAAAGATCTGGAGAAGGTGCTAGACCGATTTTGTGGGCGGCCGGGTTCCCGGGTTTCCGGTTCCGGGTTCCCGGGTTCCCGGTTTTTGGTTTTGGGTCGGTTTCGGTGGGCGGCGGGGTTCGGTGCGCGGCGGGGTTCCCGGGGTTCCAATTTCGGGTATCCTGGGTTCCCGGGCTCCTTGTCGATCTCATTACCGATGTCATGATCGATCTCACCATCCATCTGATTCAATCAATCCCACTATCGATCTCATTACCGACCTCATTCTCGATATCACGATCGATCCCACTATCGATCTCACTGTCGATCGCACTATTCATATCTCCATCGATCTCACCATCGATTGCACGTTCGATCTCACGAACGATCGCACGATCAATCCCACGATTGTTCTCACTATCGGTCTCATTATCGATGCCATCATCGATGCCACCATCGTCCGTAACTGTTTTGCCTCAAGCTTTTGCACTTACACCCGCACATATTACTTGTTGCGTTTTCGATGGCCCAGATGTTGGTCCGTTACGCTGTGGTCGTCATTCTGGCCGTGTCGTTCGGTGCAGGGCATGGGTGGGCTTGCCACGGCTCCACGGAGTGCCAGGCCGACGTCCAGCTGATCCAGACCATGGCAGTCCCCAACACGACCAGGGCCAACGCGAGCAGGGCCGAAGCCGTGGTTGGTGTCGACATCGCCCAGAAGCCAGGTGGATCTCACAGTCGATCTCACGATCGATCTCACGAGCGATCTCACGATCGATCTCACGATCGCTCTCATAGCATCGATTTCATTATCGGTATCACGATCGACCTGACAATCCTCCTCATTATCGATTCCACAATCGATCTCACAATCGATCTCAATATCCATATCACTAATTTTCAAACCATCCACTGTTTGGGTTTCTTCCCCGGTGTAATTTCTTCCCTTTCCCGGGAACCAGTGTTTCATCCTGAGTCGTTTTCTGACAGTCCCGAGGCCCGGCGAGGGCCCCTGGAGGCCGATGATTGCGGAAAACATCCCGTCACGACTTCTTCACGACGCGAGGGGATCTGGGCTCCCTCCTCCCCATCCCCCCCCTCATTCTCCCCTCCCTCTCCTCGCCACCCCTCCCCTCCCCTGCCCCCCGTCGCGTCCTCTGAAGCCCCCGCCGCGCGGCAGGTGCTTCGTCTGCGTGGAGGAGGGCGCCGGCCGCGGCACGATCGAGCTCATGATCGGCCACGGCACCGGGGGGCCCTCACCCCCTCCCGAGCAGACGGCGCGAGGAAGAGGCCCGGAGCTCCCGGCGCTGCAGTTTTTCCCACGACGGGCGATGTTGCTCCATTTCGGGCCTCGGGGCCCTCACGGATCCATCGGGCTGGGAAGAATGGCTCAGGCGCGTGGGGTCCGGGGCTCTGGGCGCGATGCTGTGGGATTGACCACGGCAGCGGGGGCCCGCCCCCTCCCCCGGCAGTGGGCGAGGAGGGGAGGGAGGACTCAGGGGCCTCCTGGGCGGGGTCGCAGCAGATGGGGTCGAGCGGCCGAGGGACGAACGGGGCGCCGAACGAAGCGAAGGACAGAGATCGAGCAGCGGCGAAGCGTCCTGGCTCGCCTCCTAGTCCCACCAAACACTGTTCTGAGAACCTTTTGTGGTTCCCACGGAATGTTCTCAGAACATTTCTGGCCGGGACTGTGTTGTTTTGGCACATTGGTCTGTGTTCTCAGAACCTTGTTTTTGTTATGAGAACATGTTCGGGTTCTCAGAACATGTCGTGGTAGGCCCATAGAAATGCCGGGACGGTCGGTCCCTGCTCAAAGAGATCTTCTTCTTCTTCTTTTTCATGAGGGCATGATCGAGGCAATCCTCGTCTCAAGGATATCGGGGCTCAACGGCCGTGGATTGCTTCGATCGGCCTCGGTGCAGGCCCCTATTTCTGGGCCCCCTAGGTGGTGTCGGAGTAGAGGGGGTCCGGAGGATCGCGCCGCATCGCCGATGCATCGGCGATGCGGCCCGACGTGGAGCACAGTTTTGTCCGACCCCGTCTGCTCCGACCCCATCCAGGAGACCTCTAGGAAGGAGAGGGCCGAGAGCAGTAACGGCTCACGTGTGCGCCTTCCCCGCTCGGTTGTCGCACGTTTCCGGCTCTTCCCAAGCAGTTTCCCAATCGGCGGCGAGCGAAGGGGGGGAAGTGAGAAGGAGAGGGCCTTCGCAGAAGGCGGCGTGCTTTCTCAGAAGGCCTGTGTCTTCGGGGAAGGACTGGAGAACTTCCCAGAAGGCCCGGGGACCTCCGAGCCTTCTGAGAAGGCCTGCCCCTCCTCACTTCCCCCCCTGGGTTCGCCGCTGATCCAAGCTCGGGATGCTGTCCTGCAGCTGCGCCTCGCCGAGGGCGTTCCTGGTCTTCCCGATAGGCCGCCAGAGGCCGAGTTATGTCAGGAGGAATAGAATTACACAGACACAATTAGTCGTCGATTCCCCCCCAAAAAAAAGAAAAAAGGGAAGTGGGGGGGAAGACAGAAACCCAGAAAATATAGGAACATATTGGGAGTATTTTTTCCTTGTGTGTATTTATTTGTGTGCCCTGGGGCCCCTTCAAAGATGGCGACGGGAGTTTTTTTTTGGGGGGGGGGATGCTGGGCTGTGGGCCTTCGCAGGGCCCCAGGGCCGCCATAAAAAACGACGCGGGGCGAAGACGCGGTCGCAGGGGAGGAGTCCAGACCTCTGCGCAGAAGTCATGGCGCCGGGGGCCATGTGAAGAAGAGGAGTCGCAGGAGTCAAGCAGTGGCGAAGCGTCCCGGCTCGCCTATAGCCCCACCAAACAATGTTCTAAGAACCTTTTATTTCGTGGTATGACTATAGGAATGCCAGGACGGTCGGTCCCTGCTCAAAGGAGGGGAACCAGAGTACATCCAAGATGTCTCAACGATGCTGCACTGCCGCTTCGTAGCCGTGTCGGCTCAAGGTCCGCTTCATGTGAGCAGGTGCGCCCTCGCGCACACATGCTGATCCTGTACCGCACCACCCCTCCCCGCTGACCCTGCGCCGATGCCGGGCCTGGCGGCCTTGGGCCTGGTGCGCGTGGCGCTCGCAGCGGCTCCTCTGGGCGATGCCGTCGCCCTGCTGCAGCAAGACGCGACGGCCTCGGGGACGCTCGCCCGGCGGGAGGACCTCCCGCACGAGGCTGGGCTCCTGGAGAGGCCGCGCGTGCCCGGCCGCTCTGGCAGCCACCTGCTGCACGGCACCCCGCCCGCAGGCGACCGGCAGTGCCTCGGGCACGCCAGCGGCCACGACTGCAGCCGGTGCCCTCCTCCCGGCGCCAGCGGCGAGAGCCGGAGGGCCCCCGAGGGCGCCGAGGCGCCGCTCCCGAGGGCCGACAGGATCGCCGTCTTCGCGCAGGTCTTCAACCACACGATCGAGAGGCCGAGGCCGCACCGCCGAGGTCCTCTGGGGAGCGCAGGATCCTTCCTGGTGTCTCAGCGGGATTCGAGCAGACGGGGTCGGAGGATCGCGCCGCATCGCCGATGGGTCGGCGAAGCGGCTCGATGCGGAGCAGGGTTCCCTCCACCCAGACGGCGCCGATGAATCGGCGACGCGGCGACGCCGCTGGTACATCGCGCCAGTGCATCGCCGATGCATCGGCGATGCGGCGCGATCCTCAGACCCCGTCTGTTCTGACCCCATCTGGGAGGCCTCCGTTTGGAGGCATCTTCTTGGGGCCTCTCGGGGGCTTCTTGCGCCCTGTCGGGGCGTTCTTCTCTTGGGGGCCCGCTGGCAGTTGCCAGGGCCAGCCTGGAGCGCAGGGCGCCAGACTCTGGCCCCAGTTTTGGAGCAGATGAGGCCGCTGCTCCGTCGGACCCCGCCGTTCTCCCATATGGCCTTGGCGGAGCTCCCGGGGGGAGGGCTGTGGAGGGGGGCAGCAGTGTCACACGCCGAGGAGGCCCCAAGGGGTCGGCGAATCTGGGGCGAGATCCGCGACTGCATCGCGAACGTGGGGCAGGCCCGGGGAGCACGCACGGTGGACGTGTACGTCGCGGTGGTGCGGGAGGCTCCCGGCATAGCCGCGGAGCTGCAGAGGCTGCAGGATTCGGGCGTTGGTAGAACTGGGTCTAGTGGAACCTGGTTTAGTGATCTGTCCCGGGGGCGCCCCGCCCCCGTCCCATTTCCACTAACCGGAACTGCCGTCACCCGAAAAAACACAAGCTATGGCAAACCTGGTTTAGTGATTCCGGCCAATTCAAAGGCTCCGGGGCCCTACCACTAACCGGGTCCCCTTACCCGGGGTCCTGGCCATACCCGAAGGATGATGGCACGGTGTCTCGGGCGGCGGTGCAGCTGGTGAGGAACCAGGGCGCCGACATCGGCCAGTTCATGCAGCAGATCCAGGAGCCGCGCGGGAAGTACGACCTCGTGCTTAAGATGCACAGCAAGACTGGGAACATGTGGCGCAAGTCCATGCTCGGCAGCCTGTGTGGAAGCCCCGACCAGGTCGAAAGCATATGGCAGCAGTTCGAGGGCAACACCAATCTCGGTATAGTGGGCCCGCCAGCGTGGACGTGGACGTACCCGTCGGACGTGAAGGAGACGTTGCGGTCGAAGCTTCTGGGTAGCGAGGCGCAGACAGACTGGGTCCCTCCGAAGCGGATGCAGAATTGGATGAAGGTCGCATGGGGCGTCATTTATCCTTGCGAAATCCTCACCGACTTTCCGGATCCCAAGCAGTTTGGCTTGCTGGCAGGCTCGACCTATTGGTCACGCGCCTACCCCCTGCTGGAGAACGACGCGCTGCGGAAAGCCATCCCGATGTTCCTCGAGATGTTCGGGCAGCAGGGGTATCACACGGGGTGCGATACAGAGCCTTGCCATCACATGTACGCACTGGAGAGGGTCATCCCGACGATGATCAAGGCGAGATTCGGGCTGGAAATCGACATCGCCCGTGACAACAGGCCACCCGAAGGATGGATGCCCAACACCACAGACAAGGTGGGCGGCCACGCGTGGAAGACGGGGTCGGAGATGGAGGCCTCGGTTCAGGGGGACCACGAGGTGGCCCCGCCTCAGAAGGGCGTCTTCAGGTGACCGGTGAGCCTCGGCCGGGCTCCGGCCGACGCGGCGCTGCGGTGCGGCAGGCGGGGTCCAGGCTCCGTCCTCCGCCTCCCCGTCTCGCCTCTCCTGGCCTCTCTCTCTCTCTCTGTTGGGCAGTCCCGGGGCGGTCTTGGGGGCCCCTCGGGCCGTTCTGGAGGCGCGGGGAGGCCAAAGAGGCGAGGCGGCCAAAAGTCCTTCCAGAGACCATGTTGTGTCATCGGCAGCCCGTTGGCCTCTCGGGGCCCTCCCGGGGCTCTCTTGGGGGGGGGGGCCTCTCGGTGGCCTCCTCGGGGGCCCGGCTCCCCCGCGCGCTCGCGCCCTCCTCCGCGCCCGGGGCTGGCTCTCGCGCGTGCGTGCAGAGCTTGCCACGCGAATGCCGATCACGGCGGCCAAGCGCGCCGTCTGCTCTCCCATGGACGCGGTGGTGCAAGGTTGAAGCGTCGCCGCCAGGAGGGCCGATGGATTGCATCCTGGTTCCTCTCTTTGCTGCTGCGCTTGTTACCCATCGGGTGCTGAGAGTGGCCAGTTCCGGACTCCCAGATCACAATCTACTCTGAGCGCCTTCCTGCTTCAGTGATCGAGCGGCTTCACCCTTGTCGTCCTCCTTAGTGGGCGGGCGGAACCCAATCTACTTTCAACGCCTTCCTACTTCATCTTTCTACCTACTTCTGCGACGGGTGGGTATTACATATGCACCGATTCCTGCTCAGGGTCGGCCTGGCCATGGGGCCATATGCGGCGCCTATGCACCCCAAGAGACGATGTTGCAACGCACCTTCCCGTCCCAAGTCCCGTCCCCATGAGCCCCCTAAAAGAATCATGCTCCACTACGCGAAGAGCCCCCTTGAACGATGAACGTCCCATGGGCCCGCAATCCCGGCGAAAGCTCGTTGCGTCTAGTAAGAGTTGCCTTCCATCTCTTGAACTACATGGAATGCAGGAAGGTGGGGCTGTAATTGGTAAGGAGATGCCCAGTGACAGCCCAGCTTTGAATAGGCACCTGTCTCCATCCGTGGAACTGTTGCACGGTTCTAGACATCTAGCCATGAGAACGAAGCTTTAAGCGAGAACGTCAGATTGACAAGAAACCGCCCTGCATATGTGCACATTTTGCACAACGATGTGGCACTACATGTCGAGGAAGGAAGTCTCGGCAGCCCTATTTTGAAAAGCAACCGCCCTCCATCTGTGCAACTGGAATGTTTCAAACCAAGCCTTCGCGGCGCCAAGCGAGAGCCTCGTTTTGGAAACCACCCGCCCTCCATAATCCGTGTAACTGTTCATTCGTAACTGACGAGTGTGCGCGACGCAAAGGCAAGAGCCCCATGTGAAAGCCGATTCGCCCTGCCTCCGTGCAACCGTCTGAAGAGTTAAAGGCAAGCGTGCGCGGCGCCAAGCGAGGGCCCCATCTGGGAAACCAACCGCCCTCCACCATCCGTACAATAGCTGGGTGTGTTTGAGACGCGTGTCCGTTTGCAGCGCCAAAGGCGAGAGCCACATTTTGAAAACCACCCGCCCTCCATCATCGGTGTGACTGTTGATCCGTTCAAGAGTTGTGCTTCAACTTCGTTGCCGCGCATATCCACCACCGCGCTTGGGGCTCGAGGAGGTGGTCGGGAGGGCGCCCTGGGGGGGATGGGCCACGGGACGCGGCTACCCCCGCGTCTGTCTTAGGAGCCGTCTAATGATTCGAAGCCTTAGGAGCATGACCGTGGTGGAAATGACATGCATTTTGGGCCCTTGGGCGTCAACACGCGTGAAAGCAGGTGCCAAATTCACGCGTGCCTCACACAATACTGAAGGCACCACACACACCTCCGTTCACGCATTTTTGCGAGCGAGATACCAGCGGGTCACATATAGGCTATCCCCCGTCGCTCATACACGCGTGAAGATTCGTATCAAGTGCACGCGTGCCAGGCACATCTTTGGCACCCCTTTCCGCGCACACATTTCTCTTGGCATCGCTCGGACGTGTGCACTTTTTCCTTCGGCGAGGACCATCGGGGAGCATCCTTGATCATTTGGCGAAAAAACCATGCACGAAACCGAAAAAAAACACAGGGAATGGACGTCCGAGCGATGGCGAGTTCTGTTGATGAAATCCGAGTGCCGCTGGTTACACCCATCCGATCCAGGGCCGCAGGCCTCGACAGCACAAAGAGAGCCTTGGACCGGAGCCCTTGTTGGAGATAAGGAGGGGGAGGAGGCGGAAGAGGAGGAGGAGCAGGAGGAGGGGTCGAAATACGAGGAGGAGGAGGAGGAAGAGAGTGGAAGAGAGAGAGAGAGAGAAAAAAAAAAAAAGAGAGATCGAGATGAGGAGGAGGAGGATGAGGATGAGGAGGAGGAGGAGAGAGGAAGGGGAAGAAGAGGCAGAAGAAAGGGAAGGAGGGTGAAGAGGAGGGGGATGAGGAGGGCGAGGACGAGGACCAGAGTACAAACCCAAGATGCATCCACGATGCTGCACGACACCCTCCCGTCCGAGGCCGCCTTCAGAAGTCCCTCCCACGGTGCAGCATGACAACCAGCGCTGGCTGGAGAGAGAGGTTGCACCATCCTCCCCTTTCTCGTCCTCCTCCCCGTCCTCCTCCCTGTTCTCCTCTCCGTCCTCCTCCCCCTCCTCCTGCTTCACCTTCGTCTTGCTGCCCCTCCTGCCTCCGGCCTGGGAGGGCCCGTCATGATGGAATACATCAAGCAGTTTACGGCGGTGGGTCACCAGCGCCGCCCGCGGTCATTTTACGACGAGCTCCCTCCCTTGGTGGGGCGCGCGGAGGGGGGGGGAAGCGGAAGGTCAGGCGCCCGTCGCGCCCGGACGAGGAGAAGGTGGAGGAGGAGGGAAGAGGAGCTAGATAGGAGGAGGAGGAGGAGGAGGAGGAGGAGGAGGAGGATCCAGTCCTCCCAAACCGACTTCGCCGAGGCACCTCCGACGTCGCCGATGCATCGGCGATGCATCGGCGATGCGACGCGATCGTCCGACCCCATCTGCTCGGACCCCGAGGCATCTAGAGGAGCAGCGGCAGGGGTGTCTGCCCGAGAGAGGGTGCGCACACAGCCCAGCTCCCTCGTCAGGATCGCGGGGGGGGGGGGGGGGTGCGGGGGGGGGGTGGAGGGAGGCATGCTCCGGGGCGCCGCTCGCGCCGTGCGGTTGCCCCCCCCCCCGGCATCACTCGGACGCGTGCACGCTTCGAGGGCGGGGGCCATATAGGGCCCCCGCCCTATAGGGCCCCCGACGGACGCGTGCACGAATGTCCCTCTATAGAGGAACATTCGGGGCCACCTCGCGCAAACAGACACGGACGGGCACGATGGCGACGAGCGCACGGGGGACTGGCCGCCCGAGCGACGGCGAGGCCCCGCGGCGCCCGCCCTGCAAGCGCGAGCGCCCGCGGGGGGGGGGGGGGGCGCCGCCTCCGTCGCCGCTGCCCTGCCGCGGCGCGGCCCCCAGCCTGCCGGGGGGGGGAGGCGTCGTGCGCCGCAAGCCCCGCGGGGGGGCCTCGTGGCTCCACGACCGACGGGCGGCGGCCTCGCGCCGCGGGGGGAGGGGGGGGGGAAGGGGTGCCGCTGCGCGCCACGCGGGCGGCGAGCGCGGGCGCGCGGGCCTCGCGCGCGGGTGGCGCAGCTGCGGCGCGCCGGTGGGGGCCCTCCTCGTGCACCCTCCGCGGCGGGCGCCGCCCGACCGCCGCGGATGCGACGCGGCTTCCCCACACGCGACTCCCGCCCTCGCGCGCGCGCGCGCGTTCCCAGGCGCACAGCGAGGCGCCAACCCCCTTCTCTCGCTGCCTGCTGAGGACATACTGCCATAGCCTGTCATTGCAATTCCAAGCGCATCCATCTCATCTCTCATGGGTCGATACCGGTGGTTCGTCTCATTCCGCATGTCCTCAAGAGTGGCTGGCGCGGCGCTGCATCC